TTACACTTGGTGCCCTCCAAATTTACAGAGAATGCTTCCAAATCTACAGTGTCTAAAGAGGTTTAGGGAAGAAGAAAGAGACCAGCCAGCATTACCTGAGAAGGAGGGGGAGAAGGGAGGCTCTTGAGTAATCGGGAGGACGGCCACCTATACCAGGGCATTGGTGTCTGGGCTCTGTTGCTTGGTTAGCGTGGGTCTATTTAGCATCCTGAAGACATTCATTCCTTCTGCTCTCTGCTCCTGGAAATAGCTGGAACACTGACCACATGCAGAAGGGCTGCTTCTGACAAGCCCTGCCTAGTCCTGCCTCTATGTACCCTGAATGCTAGTTCCCAGTGGGGCCCCAGGAGAGGTATGCATGGAGTGTGGGACATTGATGCCTTTCCCCAGGAATAGAAGCAGCATGTGCTTCACCCACCTGTCACTCCTCAGGGCCTGGCCCACTCCTTGCCCATCCCTCCAGGGAAGCATGCCCTGGAGAAGCCAGGCTTGAGCAGGACAGGACTTGCATGCCATCTTTGTGAATCAAGAGCTGCATCCATGTATGCTGACCAGGCTGCTGCCCATTTTACAGATGGCACCTTCGGAAGGTACCGTGACGCAGATAGGGCTCCTCTCCCAAGACATTCACCGCCTTACGGTAGGACTCTGACCCTCTCCCCACAGTCAGAATCGTGCCAGGGAGGCCCAGTGAGTTGGTATGGTGGTGTACAAGGCCTGGGGGACAGCAAAGAAGGGTGCTGAGTGCTGGGGTCACAGCCTGAGCCTGAGCCAGCCTCGAGACAGAAAGCAGCCCAGGGGCCTCCTCCATTGGCTTGTTGCTGTATCTTGAGCCCCTACCGGCAATGGGGAGGCTCATGGGCCTTTAGCCAAAGCCAGCTAAAGCACACTAGGTCTCAGGTCCTCTTCCCAGGATCAGAGGTAAGGAAACCAAGATGCTTAGCAACTCTGGATCACTTGTCTCATCAGCCTAGAGCCCAGCCTGCATCCTGTCCTGGTGGACACTTCTGCTTTTTGCCCAGAGACACATGCATATCCTAGCTTGCCTCTGACTTCGGGGGTATCACAAATTGTTCACAGGCTTGTGAGCACATCCTGGCATGGCCAAAAGGACAAACCATATCATGGGGAAGCAGCTTGGCCTCGAAAAGCAGCTGTGGAGTGTGGCTCAATCCCTGCTCTGACTTTACTAGCTTTGTGACCTCGGGTGCCATTCTCTCCTGAGCCTTGGCTTAGTTATCTGTAAAGCAGGGCTAATGACATCCTGCTTGCCAGGCTTACAGGCGGACCCGAGCTGGCAGGAAAAGCCAGCCACAGAGCACAGGATTTGTTTTTGAGGGCCCATAACTCCCAAGGCCTTTTAGTTCTTGGACATCCCATCACTGAGCCTGTTGGCTATACTGTCTGTTCCCATCAGGGCCTTGTCACTGTACTTTATCTGCTTGTCTAGCAAGGCACATTGGGAAGACAGGACAAGGACAGGGACACAAGAGTCTCCTTGTATCCAAGGACAAAACAGGAAAGTCTCGCTGACTCCAAACAGGATCACTTTTATTTAACTTTTTTATTTATTGGCCCATGCATGAATCTGCCCACACTTGCCCTTGCCTGAAAATAGGAAATATAGTTCTAAGATGAACAATTTATTTTTATTTTAATAGTGTGTTTATTCTAACCTAATACTCAGGGTTTCTTGGGACACCATAAACTTATAGTGCACCTGCATCAGATGCAGCCCTCACCCCAGTCCCTCTGCTTCCCATGTAGCTGCTGCAGGGCAGCCTGGACCAAAATTCTGTTAAACTGCCCCTTCGGCTGTGTCCTTTCAGACAATGCTGAGCCAGGACCAGCTGCTGAATGACTCTCGCCTGCCTGTCCCCAACTCTGATGACTGGAGATGACTCTCTTCATGGCTGAGAGCCCAGGGAGGAACGTGTGGGGGCCCAGAGCCTTTGCTTCTGTGGGGAGCTGGCAGCCCCCTCTACAAGCCCGGTCGGGGCTGGCAGGGCATCTTGGACAGGGTGCGGACAGGCATGAAGCAGACCTGTGGGAGAGGGTCCAGGGGTGGCCCCAGAGTCCACGTGTGTCTTCAGCCGGGCTGCGCTCTTCACCACAGGCTTCATACCTTTTGTACTTTTATACCTGGACTGCAGACCACTTTTGTGGGAGAGCAGTGAGTTATCAGCACACAACTCAATGCCTCGTGCTATTTCTGGTGATAGCCTGGAGGCTCTCGCACCTGAGGGGAAGAGCTGTTAGTTCATAAAACCTGCTGGGAAAAAAGTTCTGAAAAACTGTTTTGATGTTTTGTAGTGACTGCATTTTGTGGCATGATCACCAGGAGCTCCCTCCGGGGCTGCTTCACAGGAACGTGCCTTTCCATTCATGGGACTGTGGCGGGGCAAGGCAGGTGTTTAGGGTGTGAGCGGGAAAAGCATGAGGCACCTTTCTACAGCCCTGCCTGACTCCATCTCCCCTCATCTGCAATGGGTATCAGTGCAACCTCCTAGCATCTGAGCAGAGGCAAGCCCACACCATGCCCTGCCCTCTCCCTCCACCCAAGCAGACACACAGCCTCCCAGGCCTTGACCTCCAAGCAGCTCAGGCATAATGTCTGATTAAACAGCACCCCCCAGTGGAAGGCCCTCGGGCACCTCAAACTCCAGGTTTCCACCGCAAACTCACCAACTTCCCAAACATGTCTGTTTCCTCTCCAGACACTCTTTAGTCTTTCCTCCCTCCAGGTGTCTACTCAGGCCCTTCCCTCACTGGGGAATGCATTTTTCTCCTAGTCCCCTTCATGAGGCAAAATCCTGTCTCTGAAGTCTTGGCAAAGAGACCATCTCTCAGGAAGCCTTCCCACATGATCCAGTTAGAGGTCAGCTCTCCCACACATCTGCCCTTGAGCCAGAGCACAGCTCACCTTGACGTCCCTTGTTGTCTTGCTATACCCAATCCTCACCACACACCTCAAGCACTTGTGCTGGGCTGGCTCCTGTACAGACAGCCCTCCAGTTGCCAAACAGATCCATGATCTTAAGTTCCCCATCCACACTCCTTCATGTGTGTGGTATGTACGTTCCATGCTGGGGCCAAAGATATAGGCATGAATGCCAAGGTCCCCGCCTAAAGGTGCTTACAGTCTAGTGGGGGAGTACAGACCAGTTTCAAACAAGACTGTGCCAAAGGTTATGGATGCTCCAATATTAGTTTATTTGCAGCCTAAAAGAGCATGTTGTCCTTTTTAATGGGGGTTTGGGGAAGGAGTATGAATAGGTTCCATGGAAGAGGTGACACTTGAATTTGGAAAGATGAATCATACCTCCCCAGGTATGCCGAAGGGGAAGGGCATTCCAGGTAGACAGACTTGAAACAGCCTAGCACAACCTAGGAATTGCCAAAAGTTGGTAGGCTAGAACATGGTCTCTTGGCCTGTGTGCTGCTGTCACTTTGGGCTGCATGAATCTCTGTGATGGAGGCTATCCTGTGGCTTTTAAGATGTTCAGCAGCATCCTTGGTCTTTACCCTGTACATGCCAATAGAGGGTAGATGCACCCCTACTTTGCACCCCAATCAACATGTACTTTGGACTTTGTCATGTTCCTGAGCAGCAAAATTACCCTTGGTTGAGAACAACTAGGTGAGAGAATGGTGTTGGAGTTGGGGGCCCAGGAAAAGAAAAATCTGATAAAGCCAAATCAAGAAAGGCCTTGGGAGCCAGGCCCTGGAGTGTGTCCTGGAGAGATGGGGTGGCCAGAGTGGGGACTCCCTTGAAAGCAGTGAAGGATCCCCAAGAAGGCAACTGAACAGGTAGATGGTAAGGTTGGTCACCCCTCTCTTCCACCCCTCAGGCCCTCTGTGAGGCCATCTCTGTGCTTGGCCACCTGAGGGCAAGACACAGCTGTACAGAGAGCTCCCCAGAGCCCTGTTCCTCTCCTCTCTCCCCTCCCCTCTCCCTCATGCACATGCACACTGAGTAACAAATCCAGTGACACCAAGTTCCAACATTGCCACCATTATGCCAGTTTTTGTGAAAAGAGGAACAACTTAGAATAAAGCAGACCCAGGTTTAAGGCCAGCTTTGCTACCTACTGGTTGAATGACCAGGGAACACAGTCCTCAAGTCTCAGTTTCCTCATCTATAATTTGGAGAACAAAATCCCTACAGAATCTCTGGCTAGTTAAGAGACTTCTGAAACAGGGCAGAAGCAGCTCTACGCACTCACAGGTAACAGAGCAGCAGTGTGTCATCCTGGCCATGAACCGCAGATGGCCGCGTGGTCACTCATATCATTTGGGTTTCATGATACAAAGGACTGAAGGCACAGTTTCTGAAACCTGATTTTGAAAGTTCAGAAGTTTCTGTATATAACCACCCCTACCATGCCATGGAGAGAGTCTTGAGAGTTGATGTGACCCCACTTGGATTTTTCTGGGAACTGCCCTGACACTTGCCAGTTCTGACCCCCATGGGCATGCAGAAGCCAACTCATAGGGCAGGCCAAGACCTCATGATTGCCTACCAGGTCCCACACAGAGCCACACTTCATGGACTATCCGCTTTGTACTTGAGTTTATTTCACAAAACCACAGAGAAAGCTACTAAAATGGAGCTCTTTCCAGCCTCCAAGCAAGGAGGACTCAGCAGCCAGTCTCCAGCCCCTTGAGCCCTTCTTGTCAAGCCCACACCCAAAAGAGAGGAGAACCAGTGTGTACACACAAGTGCATGGCAAGACACTTTTGAAAACATCCCAGTTTAACATGGTAAAATTGAACTCACTCTGAAACAGATGAAAAGGGACATGTAAATTTGCTGAGCCCATGGAGGTGTTAGTAGGTGAAAATCATGTCCTGGGTATAGCCCAGCATCTCCAGGTTAGGGTGAGCTGCTGTTTGGATCAGGAGTGGTGGGCCACACACCAGGATGAGCGTGGACTTCCCTGGAGGAGGAAGGTGCTCTTTGATCATGTCGGCGGTAACAAAACCTGAGCTGTACTTCCAGTCTGAAATGAAGCAGATGCAGGAAAAAGCTATGGGATGCCAGGTGGAGTTCCTGACCCCAGGCCACCTGCACACCCACCCTCAGCCAGGGAGGAGGTGACAGGCTGCTCTACAAAGGCTTAGAAGTCTCTGTACTACTGCTTTCTGCAAAAAGTCTCAGAACTGGTAAATAGCCCTCTGCAGCAGTCACCCCAGGACCCAGACTCACTGCCGGGAACCTGAGGCCCCCCTTGGTGTCTGTCAGCTGTCAGCATTGACAAGGAAGGAGAACACAATGAGGTATGCTGAGCTGTGTGAATCAATGCAGCCAGCTGGAGTTGTCCAGCAGGGTGTGGCCTGGTGTTAGTGGAACTGCTCAGAATTGCTCAGTTGGGTAGCTCACTCTGCTGAGCAGGGAGCTGTATGAAAAGCAGGAACAGCTGGGCACAGTGTGGGGTGCTCTGTGCACAGTGGTTGCTGGGATACTGTTTGGGGCTGCAGCACCTATCTGGGAGCTCAGCATATGAAGACTGCTGTCCAGGTAAGGTGGGTGGTGAGGGGTGTGGTGGCCATAAGCAGAGGTGTGAGTGTGAAGGGATCAGTGCCCATATTAGATGTGTGCGTGATGTCTGTGTGGAGTTGGGTGGCTGTTCAGAGTGGCCAGAGGCAGTGTCCCTTTTGATGTTCAGTGCAGTATGTGGGGTGTTGCTGGTGTACTGGACACCTGCTCTTGATTGCCCTTAAAAGCAAGCCATCCCAAATCCTCTCTCCCTCAATTTCTTGCATTTCCCATCTGAAGCCAAAACCCAAGGCTTCACCCCCATGTCTGGTCCTATAAAACAAAAACAAAGAAACAGAGGCCAGTCCTCAAAGTAGTCAAGTGTTGAAGCTGACCCATGGTGAGTGAGGGCATTGGATATCATACCAATGGGAGGCCTGTCCAGGGTATACCACAGGTCAAACTGGTCTGGGTGAGTCTTGGCAATTTCTTCAAGCTCCTTTCTGACCAAGATATCCTCCTCTGTCTAGAAAAGAAGCAACACTAGAGAAGCCCCTCCAGGGCCATCCTGTTGTTCCCCAGGCTGACTCCACTGGTCAGGACACTCTTTCCAAAGCTGCCGCCACTCCAGCTGGAGTGCTCGCTGCCAACTCCCAGGGCAAACAACAGTTCTGCTGCTGCTCCTGCAGATCAAACCCTCTGTCTTGTGGATGGAGTTGGTGGTAGGATGTAGGTTCCCACAGAGCTGCAGTGACTGCCCCCAGCTAGAAGGACCTTAGCCAAGCACTGGCCAAGGTGGCTTCACTCAGAGCTCCAGCCCTACCTGCTACATCTACACTGAGCTCTAGCACAGCAAACCCAACTGGAACAAGCTCAGTGCAGGCCCAGGATCTTCTGCAAGAAATGTAATGGGCTCAGAAAATCCTGTGGTAGAACAGCACTAGATATGTGAAGGAGAGGAAAACAGTCTGGAGCTTCATTTGGGGAAAAAGGAGCCAAAGCCAAAAATAACCAGTCACAGCCTCAAAGATACTGCACAGAAGGCCTGGATCTTAAAACTCTTCATGATTCTCATCCCAGTAATTCCACTTCTGGGATTCTGTTTTAGAAAATAATCTAAAAGTAATCAAGTGTAGGCACAAATATTCATCACCATATTATTTATAACTGAAAACAGCTTGAATGTAGAAGTTAGTAGATTATGGTGCAACTTGATAGAGACTATGATGAAAATATTTATAAAGCATCTTAATGAGAAGAAAATGCCTGTGTGCTAAGGCTGAGTGAAAAAAAAATGCATGCATAAATTAAAAACATATAGCATATATAGAAAAAAGACAGAAATAAGTAAACATATTTATATTCTGTGTTTTCTGAAATGTCCACTGAGGACATCTGTAATTTTGTACTTAGCAAAAACACAGCAATACATACTAAGGAAAAAAGGAGTGCTCTAAGCTCAGGGTTGATTGACAAGACTCAAAAGAGTTAAATACAAGCAAAAAGCAGGCCTGGACTCAGCTTCGCCAGCTGCCAGCAGCTCTGTTGATCCCGCTAAGCCCTCCCACAGCCACAGGCACCCAAGCAGCACGAGCTCAGTCAATGGAGGAGAAATGAAAACAAGAGTCCAGCTCAGCAAACATTCCATCCTACCACTGCAAGCTCAGCAGTAACTGACCTGGTTGGCAAAGATGAGGGACATCCTGGTCCTGTCATTGGGGTCCTTGGTGATGTGGCGAATGAGCTGCAGCATGGGTGTGATTCCTGGAAAACAGTGAGCGGGCAGCCAGCTTTCTCCCCATCTCTGAAGCCCACAGTCCCTGACCTGCAGCAAGCTTCATACCTTCCTCTGGCCCCAGTTATCCTTTTCTCACTTCTGTCCCCAAAACTCAAAGTGGAGAACAGCCCTTCGTTTTGATTTTCCTTTCTAATGCAACAGTAAGTCAGAGGTCTTTCTCATTTTCATATGGCTGGATGCAAAGAACACTCTAAGCTCTTCAGTGTCCTCATTCGTTAAACAATTAATGACGAGGAGTAGATGTGATACTTTTCAGAGTGCCTATTACGGTGCCTGGCACTTTGTATGTCTCCTTCAAGACTGTTCTCTTCCTTCAGGCATTCATTTTCAAGGGATGGGGAGAGTCAGGCTTGAACTGGATCCACGAGCTCCTGGGACAGCATGGGTGTCCAGCTTGGACCCCAGCTTGGACCTGTAAGGTCCCCACCAAGGCTCCTGAGCAGCCACCATACTCATTAGGGGAAGCAGGGCACACAAGGTCAGTTTCAAGACCTGTCACTGGTTCATCCTTCCCACCTACTACAGCTGGAGGAGAAATCTCTCATGTTGTCCCTTCTAGGATCAAATAACTTCCAAGTCAGTCTGGTCTCAGGGCTTGCTCTCTGAATGGAGACCCTAGAAGGCCCTTACCTGTGCCCCCAGCAATCATTCCCAGGTGATGGACCAGTTTTTTTTTCGGCTTACTCGTCTGGTCTGGTCTGATTCCAAGAGTCCCTGGAAACACAAAATGCTGATGACCTCTGCAGTTCTTGCCTAAGAGACTGCAAAAGATCATTGACATTCCTTGGGACTCCCAGGAGGCAGGTCACACTAAGGGATTGTCTGCACCATTTTAAGCCAGAGAAGTAGGCCAGGGCAGTCTCCTCAGCTAGCCCTTGTGCCCCAGTGCACAAAGCAGGAATAGAGCCTGGGCCTGCTCAGGGAATCGATGGGCCTTTTGTTCTGAGGAAGAAGAGGGGCAAGCTGAAGTTAGCAAAGAGACTCAAAGAGCATTCTCACCCACAGCCGTGAACCAGTGAGTAAATGATGGCTATGTGAGTAGTAGTAGCAGGCGCCATTTATGTATCAGGCATTGTGCTGGAGATATTAATACAATGATGAGGAAACACCACATCATTCCCCTACCTTAAAAAAGCTTACAGCCTCATGAAGTGGATGTGCGAATGTAAGACAAGTGTGGTTATTATACATTGTATGTGAATGAATGAAGGCTATGGACAAGCCCATGTGACTCAAATCTGAGGAGTGTACTAGAACAATGGAATCACTGCAGAAATCTTCACCCCCACGTCTGGAAGCCCAGTGTGAAGCCCTCCAGTACCTGGCCCATGGTAAAATAGGCGTCCCTTTGGCCCTCGAAAAAAGATGGTATCCCCGATTTTCATGTTCTCCAAATACTGAGTCATCTTCCCCCCTTCAGGATATTGGGGGTGTACATTTTTGAAGTAGATCTGAAAAGCAAGGCAGCACTGCATTCATATTCCCAGAAACAATGCCACAGCCACACACAACTAGAAAATGCATTTACTGCTGGAAGCTTTGCAGAGAAAACGCTCTGCTCACTCAACTGCTGTAAGCGATCCCTAAAGGTGAAGCTGCCACAAGGTTAACTGTAGCTTCACTGCTGGAAAGCCCTGTCTAGGACATATGTCCCCTCAGAGGAAAAGCACTGGCCCTCCACCCTACCACCCTCCTAAGGCTCGGAAGCATGAGGCAGCCAGACATGGAGGGCACTATTCACCTTTATAATTAGGTCCACAAAGCCTCTGTCATCATCACTGGAGACAGGTGTGTAAGCCCTAACCACCAATTCATTATCAATGTTCGCCAAGAGCTGGACATAGTTACCTACAGAAAAGGCATCAAGCATTGAGTCAAAGCATGTCTAGCTTAAACAAGGCCCAGGAATAAAGGACTGAGCTTCAGTGAAGGGAGCAAATTCTGGGGCAGAATGTAAAGGCGGCAGGAAGGAGAGAGCAGGGAAGGAGCCCAAATCTGGGATGCCTGGATCCTAGGCCTGCCCTGCCTCCCTGTGTTACCCTAGGCAAGTTACTTCATCTCTCTGGGTTTTGGTCTCTTCATCTGTAAAATGGGGATGATATGCCTGCCAACCTGTGATCATAGTGTAACTTCTTTTTGGAGCAGGAAAAGGTTAACGTTGGAGAGTGATTATTAAAAATTACAGAAAGGGGTCGGGCATGGTATAGCTCATGCCTGTAATCCCAGCCCAGAGGTGGGTGGATCACTTGAGCTCAGGAGTTCAAGACCAGCTACTTGAGAGGCTGAGGTGGGAACATCACCTGAGCCCAGGAGGTCAAGGCTGCAATGAGCTGAGACTACGCCACTGGATTCCAGCCTGGACAACAGAATGAGACCCTGTCTCAAAAAAAGAAAATTACAGAAAGGAGTATTTTTTCAAGAAAATTGAGTATATTTTCAAGAAAAATATGTGGCTTTCGCAAACTCATTTCTTCCTAAACTGATGAATCACTGGGGTCTGTGAGTAAATTACAGCTACTCCATTTGAATCCTGGTACCAGGCACTGAGCAGGCCTGGGCTCACAGATACTACAGGGCCCTAGAATTTGGGTACCCATGGAGCAAATGAAACAACAATATCATGTCTTCCTGGCCTGTGGCCTTGTGAGGAGTAGCAGTGAAATTTTAAACCATGTAACTCTGCCCTTAATGGGCAGAATTTAATTAACCAGGTGTGGCCAGAGACCTATGGATCATGACTACATCCTACTGTCAGATGATACACTGGGCAGTTACGACCTGTTGAATCCAAAATGCGAGACTCAAATTACTAAGGCAATTAGTGACACGGACAGGAGTGCAATCAAGAGATACTAAGAGCTAGAGGCAAGAGAAAGATACCTAACCCTAACCCTAACCCTTGACTAACTTCCTGTATGTAGTCAGTTTCTATTCCCTTAGTTTCTACTCCCTCAGAAACTGAGTGGGCTACATACAGGAAGTTAGTCAAGAGTCAAGGAAGATGGAACAGAGTTATGGATAGAAACCAAGACCTAAAATGCAGAGAGAAGGAGGCAGGAGGAGAAAAAAGGAAGCAGAGTAGACACTAGAGGGGACGGGCCCTGAAGCTGATTCAAGGGCATGAGCCAAGTCTTTGAGGTGGCCCTGAAGCTTGAGGTGTCAAAACTCTCAGAAGAGGCTCAATAACTCTGGTTATGGTCCCTCTGGGCACCAGGGATACCCAGTAATAAGTATCTGAGACACC